TAAAGGTACTGGAGCTGCCGGAGCTAGTGGTGCTGCTGGTGCTGGAGGTGCTGGAGGTGCTGCTGGAGGTGCTGGGGGTACTGGAGCTGCTGGCACTGGAGGTGCTGGTGCTACTGGTGCTGGAGCTGCTAGAGCTGCTGGTCCTGGATGTGCTCGTACTAGAGGTCCTAGAACTACTGGAGCTGGTGGTGCTGGTGGTGCTGGAGGTGCTACTAGAGCTGCTGGCACTAGAGGTGCTGGTGCTGGAGGTGCTGGAGGTGCTGCTGGTACAGGAGGCGCTGGAGCTGGAGGTACTGGAGGTACTGGAGCTGCTGACGGTACGGGTACTCAGCCGCGCCGACCATTTTTCTACCCGCAGCCGCAGTCATCCCTTCCACCGCCTGACTCAGCTCTTAGCCATTTTCTTAGTCTCCCGTCTTCCACTGGCCTCACTCCACCTCTCCTGTGTCCACTGACAGAACAGTCTCAGCCACAGCTACTGCCTGACTCCTTGATACCTGCTCCTACTCTTCAAACTGAGGTGACTGAGTCCCTGACTGAGCATCGTGAGCCTAAGACTCATGCTTGAGGACAGGCAGTTTGAGCTTGAGTGTCTTGCGGCCGTTTTTCCTCATTTCGCATCCATGCTGCTTTTCCCTAAAGGAGACCCGGATGCACTGGACATCCCTACCCCGCGCTCTTACGGTGAGGCAATCGTGGGTGAGTACTCCTCTCAGTGGAAGACAATCATGGACACAGAGATGGCTTCCTGGAAGTCCACAGGCACCTACGTCGATGAGGTTCCTCCTCCTTGGACAAACATAGTCGATGGCATGTGGATTTTCAGAGTGAAGCGGCCGCCGGGTTCTCCGCCTGCCTTCAAGGTGCGTTACGTTGCTCAAGGCTTCAGTCAGCGACAGGGGGTCGACTACTTCCAGACCTTCTCCCCCACCACGAAGACGACTGCTCTTCGGGTGTTGCTGCAACGTGCAGCACAGCGTGACTACGAGCTGCACTCCCTCGACTTCTCCACAGCTTTCTTACAGGGCAGCCTTCACGAGGAGATCTGGCTGCGCCACCCACCTGGCTTCACTGGGTCGTTTCCTGCGGGTACCCAGTGGAGCCTCCGGTGGCCAGTCTACGGTCTCTGCCAGGCGCCCCGTGAGTGGCACGACACACTGAGGACTACACTTGCGGCTCTTGGGTTTGCTCCTTCCTCTGCTGACCCGTCGCTGTTTCTATGCACCGACACTACCCTGCCGCCGTTCTACGTTATCGTGTACGTTGACGGCTTGGTTTTTGCTATTGCTGACACTGAGGCGCTGGCCCTAGTGAAGGCGGAGCTGCAGGAGAGACACACTTGCACTGACGTGGGTGAGCTGCGTAGCTATCTTGGCTTGCAGATCACCCGGAACAGAGCACGGTGCACCATCACCCTGACTCAGTCACACATGGTGCACCAGGTCCTTCGGCGCTTCGGCTTCCAGTACTCCTCGCCACAGCCCACTCCTCTTCTTACCGGCCATTTGCTCTCAGCTCCACCTTTGGACGAGTCCGTAGAGCCGAGCGGTCCGTATCCAGAGCTTGTGGGTTGCCTCATGTACCTAATGACGTGCACACGACCTGACCTCGTGTACCCTCTCAGCCTCCTGGCTCGCTACGTGGCTCCCGGTAGACACCGAAAGGTGCAGTACATCGGGCATGGGGCTCGTGCTTGGAGGACAGGGTTCAGTGGTACTCACAGGACACTCCGATGCTTCTTGGGCCGACGACCAGGCGACTCAGCGTTCATCACAGGGTCACACCTTCAGTCTTGGCTCTGGTTCGGTCTCGTGGAGGTCCACTTGTTCTTCTTCTGTGCTTGGTTCCAGCTATGAGGCCGAGATCTACGCTGGGGCTATGGCTGCACAGGAGCTACGCTGGCTGACCTACCTGCTGACCGACTTGGGGGAGTGGCCTCGTTCTCCTCCAGTTCTGTACGTCGACATCAAGGCCATGCTTGCCTTGTGTCACGAGCAGAGACTGGAGCACAGAACAAAGCACATTGCTCTTCGCTACTTTCTTGCTCGAGAGCTACAGCAGCGTGGTCAGCTTCACCTCTCTTACGTGGCCCCTCGGGCCAACACTGCTGATGTCTTGACCAAGGCCCTCGGGTTTTGTGATCTTCAGCGTTTTTGCACTGCTCTTGGGCTTCTGCCCATTCTGCCTCACCTACTTGTCTCTTGATCTTGCGCTTGTTGTACACTGATATCTATATTTTTACCTGCATGTTTCCTCTTGCTAGGTTGTACTTGCTATTATCACTCTAGTGTGAACTGTTAGAATATATCTGTAACTGCCTGTAGCTGTAGTTAGTGTAGTTGTTATAAACTTGTTGGTGGTGTATCTTCTTTGCATGCTTTGTTTGCTATATGTACCTCGCTCCATAGTGAACTCACTCACTCTTTGCCTAAACTCTCTCGACTCCCTTTGGCCTAGGCTACTAAGCCTAGGCCCTACTCTTACTATTCAACATGGTATTCAGAGCAGGCACCTTCCTGCTGCCTTCCTTAACGGGCCCACCAGTCTGCTTCCGCTGCCTGTCGTCCTGTCGCGCGCCTCGGGCGCGCGGCGATTTTCTGCCCGCCGTGTACTCGGGGCGCACGGCGGTTTTCTGCCTGCCTGCCCGTCGTGCGCCCCGTGGCGCGCGACGATGCCCTGCCCGTCGTGCGCCCCGAGGCGCGCGGCGGGTTCGTCGCCTGTCGCGGCACACAGGGGGCCCGCGCACCCCCCCCCCCCCCCCCCCCCTCTTTTCCCGTCGCCTGTCGAGGCGACCTGAGGGGGCCGCGCGGGGGGGGGGGGCGCGTGGGGGGGGGCCGCGCGTCGCCCCCTTCTGCAGCCTGTTCTGGCGCCCAGGGGGGGCCGCGCGTCGGAGCAGCCGCCCTTGGTGCAGCCGCCCCTTGACCTCAGCAGCCGCGCGTCGAAGCAGCCGCCCCTGGTGCAGCCGCCCCTGGAGCAGCCGCCCCTGGTGCAGCCGCCCCTGGACCCCGCGACGCCGCCCCTGGACCCCACGGTGCCGACCCTGCAGCTGCATGCGACGCCGTTCCTGGACCCTGTGCTGCCCATTGCCGCCCGTTGCTGCCCGTGCCTGTGCTGCCCGTTGCTGCTCTCCCCCCCCCTCCCCCCCTTCTTCGTCTCCCTGCTGCGCGTGCAGCCGTGGAACGGAGGGTCTGGGGGTGGCGGGTATGGGGGTGATGGGTGGTATGTTTCCCTTCCCCTCCTCCTCCTTTCGTTCCCACTGCTGCAGCTGCCGCTGGGGGGAGGGTGTGAGGGTGTGGGGGAGCCAGGGGAGTGGCATTGGGGTGGCGGGTGTGAGACCAATCAGCCCCCGTCCCTCTGAAGGGGGGGGGGGAGGAGAGTAAAGGGGTGGCAGGAGTGCCTGCCCCTTTGCTGCTGTACCTGCTTTGTTACCTTGCCTGCTGTTGCTGTTTTCTCTGTTCGTGGTGTACCCATCCAGGATGTGTCGCTGCACAGACTCCTGCTGCAGGCAGTTATGGGGGAGTGTTAGTGTTATGTGATGCTATCATTTGCATTCACGTCTGTCTGCCTCCCATCATATGTTCGTGTGTTGCATGCGTGGTGTGAGCGTGTGCAAGAATTTGTGTTTGGTGTTGTTTGGATTTTCTGAGTGTGTGTGAATGTTATTTCGCTTGAGCAGATATCTGAAGTGACTTCTCTGCTCAAGAGCTTTCCGACGAACCAAGTATCGCTTCAATCGGAGCACGAACAAGAAAGTTACGAACGTTGGAAGTTCGTATGCTTTTGATATTTGGTTGTGGTGACTATGGGAAGTTGTGGTGTTGACTCCATAAGGAGTATAGACTTTTGGGGGTTGGGAAATTCGTCAACATCACTGTAGATGCTGCAAAGTGGTTGGGAGGTGCCAAACCAGGTTGGCAAGTGTGGCCAAGTTGGGCAAGGTAGATGGCATGGGTTGGAAAGTGACAAAAGTAAAAGTGGGGTTCCTATAGGGAAGGGATTTGGTGTGCTTATGGGGTTTCCTTGGTTGGGAACTCCTTGGGGACCTTCCCTGTCGTCCTCCTCTTCCCCTCCCACCTGGTTAATTGCTACTCTAACTTTCTTGTGTGAACTTGTGAGATAATTGTGATTGAGTTACGTTTTCTATGGTAGCATACCCCCTAGTGCGCCGAAGTTCATAACTCGAGTTATACTCCATATTTTGATACTATTCAAATTGAGAAAGATAGCCACAGTCAAGGGCTACAACATACTCGAGTTTGAAAGAATTCTAACTCTGCGTTAATCGTTGACGACGTTTCTTGTGACGACGACTTTTCTGTCCAGAATTGTAGTTGACGATTTTGAGATATTTCAGCCCCTAATCTTCATAGACTCCGTCCTTAGTCTCTAACAGTAAGAATATATCTGTAACTGCCTGTAGCTGTAGTTAATGTAGTTATTATAAACTTGTTGGTGGTGTACCTTCTTTGCATGCTTTGTTTGCTATTTGTACCTCGCTCCATAGTGAACTCACTCACTCTTTGCCTAAACTCTCTTGACTCCCTTTGGCCTAGGCTACTAAGCCTAGGCCCTACTCTTACTATTCAACATGAACTGGCCTTGTGGCCGCTTGCTTGTGTTCATAATGAGTGGTGGTCTTGAGATCCACCCTGGGCTTTGCATTGCTTTGTTCTCTTACCTAACTGGTCTTGTGACCGTTTGTTGTGTTGGCTATCCCTCACTTTGCCTACGGGGGTGTGTCAAAACATATTTGTATGTTCCTAGTTCTGCTAGGCTACAGTGAGGTGCTCAATATAGAGTACAATCCCAGTTAGGGTTTACTACTTGTATCTCACTCTTGCTAGTCATTCACCATTCCTGCACAGATTATTCTGACATCCTCCCAATGCAATCCGCCTGCTTTTTGAGGCACCTCAAAAGTGCGGCGATTATTGAGGCGCCTAAAAAAATACCTAATGATACAGTACGCCATCTCCCTTTCTCTTCTCCATCCATGGCCATCAAATCTCCATAGCATCTTCCCCCTGCACTCCGCCTGCTTTCTTCTTCGCCTTCTTTTTCTTCTTCTTCTTCTCCAAGGCTTGTTGGGCTTGCCTCGTTGCGAACTTGGTAGGGAGAGGGGGTGGGGCGACTGCCGAGGGAAGAGTGTTTGAGAGGTGCTGCTGAATGGCTGTGAAGGGGTTGGATTTGAAGGCGGGGTGTGACAGCACTGCAGCCATTTGCTTGGTCTCTTCAACTCTGAAGTCAGCAGGTATGCACAAACAGTGAGAGACACAAAAACGAGATTAGAGTGAAATGGTAACTGTATTACAGCATTTACTGAAATGAACAGAACATAGGAAACGAGCACATTATTCCAGCATCGATATGAGTGTGCAAGGGGGGAGGACGAAAGAACCAGCTTGCGTACGACAAGCTGGTTTCATATCAACGACAAGCTGGTTTCATATCAACGACAAGAGCAAGCACAGCACGCCATGCCATGCACCGCACGACACACTCACACGATCTTCCCTCGCTGCTTCGCAGACAGCCGCTTCTCCCCCTCCTTGCCCAGAGCCAGTGCATCTGGCAGGGCGTCCCCCAGCGATGATGCGAGTGTATCCAGTGTGAGGCTGGTTGGGAGGTTGGTGACTGCGCCTTTCTTCTTCTTCTTAGACGCCTTCTTGGTCTGTTGGGATTGGGACAGGCACACAGTGAGTGGGTGAGAGCACAGGAAAGGGCGTCCCCCAGCGATGATGCGAGGGTGTCCAATGTGAGGCTGGCTTGTAGGCTCGAAAGAGCACCCTATTTCTTCTTCTTAGACGCCTTCTTGGTCTGTTGGGAGGGAGTGGGGGGACGGCACACAATGAGAGAGCCAGTGCATGCATCCGGCAGGGCTTCCCCCAACGATGAATCGAGGGTGTCCGATGTGAGGCTGGCTGGCAGGCTGGAGACTGTTCCTTTCTTCTTCTTCTTAGATGCCTTCTGCTTCTGTTGGGGGGGGGAGAAGGGGGAGAGAGGGGGGTACACAGTGATTGAGTGGAAACACAGAAAACGGCCTCTCCCAGCCATTAATGTTGGAAATTTTCCTTCGCTTGTTTTATTTGACTGCATTCTTAGTCGGTTGAGGCTGAAGGAGAGAGGAAGAGAGGGGTTGCATGCAGGGTGTGTGTGTACTACTGGCGAACGTGAACGGAAGGCGGGAAGAGCCTTACCCTTATGTTTAGGGTTTCGGGTTAGGGATTCACTAACCCTAAGGTGGGAGAGTGTGAAAGTGAGAAAAAATGTTAGCATGCTCTCACATCGCTGGCATGCTACCATGATGCTAGCATGTGTAACCGTACCTTTGAGTCTCCCCTAGCAGCAGCAATGAGAGTTTGTGTTCGCCTCAAATCTGGCGCACAACAATGGGCAGGGAAGGAAGAGAAGGATCATGATTTTTTTATGCCCACCCACATGAACTTGCTATACCCACACCAGTCATGTACATTATCAGTGCTAACCCCACATCAAATAGACATCATAACTGCTACAATCACACCCAATTTACTCACTGTCCATGAGCCTCGTCTGCTTGGCAACCCTCTTCTGCACTCGCCTGCTCTCCGTCGCCGGCTGTGCCCTGCCAGCCGTTACCAGCCGATTCAATCCAGTGGGGATGGCATGGGATAAACGTGGAGTGGAGTGAGGGATCGGAAGAGCTGAAACGGTTGAGCTTTGTGAACGAGGGATTGAAACAGGGGTGAGACGAGTGAAAGAACCAGATAGACAACAAACCCGATTGCTGAAGGAGAGCAGAGCAAGAGTGGCTTCTTCTGTTCCGTCGCTGCATTGTCCGCCTCCCTTCCCTCCACAGGACCACAGGTGCTGATGCTAGAGAGAATCGGACTCACCAGCAGCCTCAGCAGCTGAGCTCTGCCCTGCCAAATACAACAGAAAGGGCAATGGCGTACCCGGCTTCTTCCGTGGCTGCATTGTCCGCCTCCCGTCCTTCCACAGGCGTTGATGCTAATGCAGCTGACTTACCAGCGGCCTCAGCTGCTGGGCCCTGCCAATCACCACATAGGAGAAACAAAAAAGGGGAAGCAGCGAGGGCAAGGATGCAGGAAAAGAGAGAGAGGGAGAGGGGAGGGGGGGGGGGGGGGGGGGGGGGAGAGAGAAGGGGGGTAGAGGGCAGAGGGGGTTGAACAGCAGATGCTTTTGAGTCGATTCAAAAGCTGTCAATCACCACATAGGAGAAACAAAAAAGGGAAAGCATCGAGGACAAGGATGCGGGAAAAGAGAGAAGAGGGGGAGGGGGGAGAGGAGGGGGGTAGAGGGAAGAGGGGGGTGAAGAGCGGATGTTTTTGAGTTTCGAAAGGTGGGGAAGATCAAGCCACTTGAAGTGGCAAATCGGAGCATCCACTCAAAGGAATTTGATCACACGTGCATGAACACATTCTTGGCAGCATAGCACCCGTTCACCACACCTAGAGAGATCACAGAGCTCTCAAGTCAAGGGCGGGTAGTTTGCATTGCAGCAAGCAACCTCTGATGGCCGACTATTAAGAGGGGGCCATCAGAGGAAAGCCTTGTTGCTTGAATTGAAAGGTTACAGAGCAGCATTGTACACTTTTTACCGCCGCTCATCTCATCTCAGAAATCAATCCTGTTTTCTCAGCCAATACTAGTAACAGCGTTGCTGCTTCTGAAACGACAAGAAGCTTTGAGTGGTCGGTCGGCAAGGATAGGATCGGTGGCTGGCTGGCATACCTTGGCGGCATCTGCGGGCGCTGCAGCACGTTTTGTCTTCTTCTTCGCCATCTGCTGTGCGCCTGATGGCTGGATCGGCAGCACGAGTTGCTCTCAGGCTCAGGGCTGACGGGTGGGTGGGGAAGGGCTGGACGGCTGAGATGGCTGCTGATGATGAGGATGGACGGCCAAGATGAATTTCCGTGCTGTCAGTAAGGAGCAGATTCACATGAGGGGATTGAAGGGAGGGGAGAGAGGGAGAAGAGGGGGGAAAGCTAGAGGGGAGACGAGCAGAGGAGAGAAGAGGACGGAAAACGGGGGGAGGAGGGGGGAGGACAGGCGAGGGGCGGTGAGTAGAGGGGAGGAGAGAGAAAAATTGGGGAAGCATGGGGGGGAGGAAGGGAAAATGATTGATGCAAAGAGAAAATAACTGAAGTGAACAGTCGGGTCAGATAGCGGAGGCAACAAGGGGATTGGGGCGGGAGAAGTCGGGAGGGACGAGAAGCGAGAGGCGAGAGGGGCGGGCCTGGCGCCAAGATGCGGAGGGCGGGGGGTGTGACGCGCGGGGGAGTGACGGGCCGGGGGGTGTGACGCGCGGGGGAGTGACGGGCGGGGGGTGTGACGCGCGGGAGAGTGACGGGCGGAGGGTGTGACGCGTGGGGGAGTGACGGGCGGGGGGTGTGACGCGCGGGGGATGTGACGGGCGGGGGATGTGACGCGCGGGGGATGTGACGCGGGGGGGTTGTAACGAGCGGGGGGTGTGACGAGCTGTGGTGTGAGGGGCGGGGGAAGCGAGTACTGTGAGGCGCCTCAAGGGGTGCACAACCGCAAGGGGCAGCGAGCGCGCGACGGGGAAGGAGATCGGGAAGGGTCAGCGAGCGCGCGACCAGGGGTGCGGAGGGTAGAGGGGCGTGGCAGAGGGGCGTGGCAGAGGGTAGAGGGGCGTGGCAGAGGGTAAGGGTATAAGATTGAGGGTAGTGGGGAGAGGGTTAAGGGTAGGGAGATGAAAGAAGATCAATTTGAGTGCGTGAGTCAGCCCCAGGAACGAAGGGTCAAGACAGGCGAGGCTGATTAAGCAGCGCGTGGCGGCAATGGAACGAAGGGTTCGAGCGACGATTACACTACGAAATATTGCGCCTATTCCAAGCCGTCCGCACCTGGCATGACTCGTTCCGGGGCTTGATGACAGACACGCACGACCCTCAAGCGGCGGCGTGCACTTGAAGCAAGTACCGTAGAATTGTCTGATTCTGAAAGCGCCTGAGTAGATAAAAGGTGGATTTTGACAAGAGCTCCCCCGCTACTGGTGATGGTGCTTTTCCAACTCAACTGGTATGTACGGGTGCTTTAAGGTAACCACCTCGTGAAGTCAATAGCAGAGGAGAGTGTAAGGAATTTTCCCGAATTCCTTATCGGGGTTGACTGCTTCACGTACAGCCCCGATTTTCAGACTTTGCATGTTGGGCCGACATCAACGATGCCGAGGCTCCTCGCGTCGCCTTCGGCGTTTCCCTTCGCCAAACCTACACCTAACCTCGCTCACCCGAGGTTCCTACTGGGTTCCCTCCTAGCTATGCTAGCCACTACATTAGCGTGTGCCTTCATCGTATGCCCCATCTCTTGAATCACAATCTCGTTATTCGTCAATCTGCGCACTCTCCTTTACAACTCATAACACCTGGTGTCAGAGCTACTTTCCTAGTTCACCCCGCTTTTCGAGGGTAGTCTGGTGGCACGGGTGTGACTGGTATAGTGGACTACACGACGGTTAGCCGCAGAGTTTGTTGATTCAAACCTGCCCGACTCCGATAGCTCGTGTTTTCCATTCGCCTGAAGGCCACGGGGACCCGCTTGCCCACCAGACGTAGTGCTAGACGGATCAGGAGGCGATTAATAGACTCATGGCGCAAGTGGCAGAGATGCAGGAGGGCATGAAGTCATTGATGGCGAAAGTGACAACCTTACGTGGAGAAAACGCCGAGCTACACCAGGCGCGAGGTGAAGCGCGCCAGGAGTCGCCCGATGACAAAGGCGAGGGCAACAATCAAGCGATGAGCAGCCCGTTAGACGCGCTCACACATGACTTCGAAGAGGAAGACAGGCAGCGAGCGGCAGCAACTCCAGTTGCAGTAACGACGATCAAGATTAAAACCGTCAACCCGCCCCTCGTTTAATCCTACGGACAAGACGACTACGGTGAAGGGGTGGCTGTTCGGTGTCGAAGTCTTTTTCACTACAGCATGTGTGAACGACGATGCCACGCATATTACTTACGCGGTTTCGCTTCTCCGAGGCGCAGTGCTTGAGTGGTGGCGCCGAACCTTGGAAACGGGGACCTCAACAGGTGTGACACATGCGGCAGACGGGACCTCAACAGTGACTAATCAAGTGGCGGAACCGACCTTCGGAGTGACCAAGATACGCACGTGGAGAGAGTGGGGCGCAGCCTTACGAGATCGCTTCGAGCACGTATCCGCCTCGGAGCAAGCTCGCATGAAGCTGCGTGCCTGGTCGCAGATGGCATCTGTCCAAGACTACACAGCGTCATTTAATGGCCTCGCCGACCAAGTGGATGACATGTCGGAAGCAGAGCGGTTGGATAAATATATCAGTGACCTCAAGTACGAGATTCAATACGAGGTTCGCATGAGCCGCCAACATCATTCCTAGAAGCAGTAGGCTAGCGGAGTCAACAGATGCGCTGATGCAGTATGCGAGAGCAGCTTGTCAGAATACTGAACGAAAATGGTTGAATTGAACAGAAAGTGAGTACAATTACTAACCCTAATTGGGTTGTACCCCTTATGGGCTACCACACTACAGCCTACACAATGTAAGCACTGTAACATTTTGACACACCCCCATAGGCAAAGTGGGGAGAACAAGTGGTCTCAAGACCAGTAAAAAAAAACAAAGCAAGCTCAGGGTGGATCACAAAGTCACCACACATTCTGAGCACAAGCAAATGGCCACAAGGCCAGTTCACATGCAGTGTTATATAAAAAAAGAACAAACAATACAGTGATCATACCCTAGCAAGTCTAAGCATGCGGGTACATATATAGATCACAGTACAAGCAAATTCACGCAGTGAGCAGGTGAGGCAAAGTAGGAACAAGGCCTAAAACAGTACAAAAACGCTGATGATCACCAGACTGAAGTGCCTTGGTGAATATATCAGCAGTGCTGGCCCGAGTGGCTACGTAAGCAAGACGAAGCTGACCACGCTGCTACAACTCTCGAGCAAGGAAGTAACGCAGAGCGATGTGCTTCCTTCCGTGCTCCAGTCTGTGCTCCTTATACAAGGCAATCATGGCCTTGTTGTCTACGTACAGAACTGGAGGAGAATGAGGCCTCTCGCCCAAGTCGGTCAGCAGGTAGGTGAGCCAGCGTAACTCCTGTGCAGCCATGGCCCCTGCGTAGATCTCAGCCTCACAACTGGAACTGAGAACAGAAGACGAGCGGGTAGACCGCCAAGAAACAGAGCCGGAGCCAAGGCTGAAAGTGAAACCCTGTGACGACCGCTGCGTAGCCAAGTTGTCAATCCACGAAACGTCTGCGTGTCCAGTGAGGACAACTGGACCCCGTCCTCCAACCACGAGCCCCATGCCCGAAGTACTGCACAAGTAGCGCAAAACCCTCTTAGTGGCCTCCCAGTGCTCTGGTCGGTGTCTCCCGGGCGCAACGTAGCATGCCAGGATGCTAAGAGGGTAGGCACGGTCAGGTCGAGTGCAGGTCATCAGGTACATGAGGCAGCCCACAAGCTCTGGATACGGGCCACTCGGCTCTACGAACTCGTCCGAAAGTGGAGCTGAGAGCGAGTGACCAGTAGGCAGAGGAGTGGACTGTGGCAAGGAGTACTGGAAGCCGAAGCGCTCAACGACCTGGTGCACCGTATGTGACTGAGTCAGGGTGATGGTGTGCCGTGCTCTGTCCCGGGTGATCTGCAAGCCAAGATTGCTGCGCAGCTCACCCAGGTCAGTGCAGGTGTGTCTCTTTTGCTGCTCCGACTTCACAAGGGCCAGTGTATCAGTGTCAGAAGTGGCAAAAACCAAGTTGTCGACATACACGAGGATATAGAACAGCGGCAGCGAAGTGTCGGTGCGCAGAAACAGCGACGGGTCAGCAGTAGAAGGAGCAAACCCAAGAGCCGCAAGCGTTGTCCTCAGTGTGTCGTGCCACTCACGAGGTGCCTGGCGGAGACCGTAGACTGGCCGCCGGAGGCTCCACTTGGTACCTGCAGGAAACGACCTAGTGAAGCCAAGTGGGCGGCGTAGCCAGATCTCCTCGTGCAGACTGCCCTGTAAGAAAGCTGTGCTGAAGTCAAGAGAGTGCAGCTCATAGTTACGCTGAGCGGCGAGGTGCAGTAGAACCTGAAGAGTGGTCATCTTCGGGGTAGGGGAGAAGGTATGGAAGAAGTCAACTCCTTGTCGCTGATTGAAGCCTCGTGCAACGTAGCGAGCCTTGAAGACAGGCGGAGAACCCGGCGGCCGCTTCACCATGAAAATCCACATGCATGGCAGCAAGGATAGCATCATAGTCAAGAGCAAAGATATCAACTCCAGACCTAAGCAGCTCTAGCCAACGGGGGCACTCGGCCTTGTCTCCAAAATCTGCGCGCCAAGCGTCGTCAAGGCGGGAGAAGCAGCGGTGTTGAGTGTGAAACTTCCCGCATGTCTGACCAGCGTTGTCACCTGTGCGAATGACATACGGGGAGCGTACACTACCCCCAGACGCCCCACGCTGAGCAAACCACTCACGAAGCTGCTGGGGCGTAGGGGTCTCACTTCGACACTGCTGCTGCTGCCTCTGGCCACCGCCATAATCTCCCCGCTGAACAGCTCCACCCCGTCCGCCACCACCACCGCCACCACCACTCCCACTGCCGCCACCACCGCCACCCCCACCCCCACCGCTGCCACCACCGCCGCCACCGAAGCCCCCACTCCCGCCACCACTCCCACCACTACCACCACCTCCGCCACCTCCACCGCCTCTACTGCCTCCACCACCTCCACCCCCGCTTCCACCGCCACCACTCTTGCCACCCTTGCCCTTGCCGCTACGGCACTTCCCACTAAGAGCAGAAGCAGCCCCGACATCCTCAGCACCAAGGATGTCAACAGCAGCAGCAGAATTGTAGGAGGGGGCAAGGGGGGAGGGGGAACACCCCTCAAAGAAGGGTGTGCGAGGAGTGCCACGAGCAGCACCTACGGCGACTACACTAGTCTGAGCTGCAAGAAGGTGCTTCTCGAGTAGGTCGACAGTGAGGTCTGTGGGGTCAAGTGTTAGAAAGTGGTCCCTGACAGCGCGAAGAGAGTCACGGAGGCGGGTGACTATGAAGTAGAGAGTGATGTACATCGGGGGCGGGTTCCTGTCTAGGAGCTCGGCTGGTAGGGCAGCGCGGTAGCGAGTGTCGCTATTGCAAAGGTGGGTAACGAGGTCCTTGACTGTGGCAAAGGCTGACAGCTCGGGAAACAGGTAGGGCAGTATAAGGCGGCCGAGAGCAGCAGTGGCAGGGGAAGAGTAACGAATGACTACATCGTCGTATAGGGCTTTAGCAGTCTTGTGCTGGCCAAAGTGAGCTCGTTCGGCTAACAGCAGGTGGTTGCGAACGGTCAAGCGAGCAGCAGCGTCACGGGTAAGCCATTGTGAGCGAGTCACACTGTCAGCTGTGGCGGGAGGGGCGAGAGAGGCTCCACACATGTGGTCAAACACGAAACGCTGTCTCTAGAATCGCTCAGTAGGTACAGTTGTAAGTCGTCGAGCCACGTATCGAACTGGATTGGACGGCCCTCATGATCGAAGGTGAGCACACTAAGAGAAGACATAGCGGGCAGAGCAGGGTGGTGCGTGACCAGCAGGGCAGCACGCAGGCAGGGCGGCGCCCGAGCACTAGGGAAGAGCGTAGGGCAGGGAGAGGCGGCGCACGACTAGGGAAGAGCGGCACACGGCCAACGCAGGGTAGGGCGGCGCGTGGGCAGGGCAGGGTTGTGCGGCTGCCAGCAGGGCAATGCGCGGGCAACAGGGCGGCGCGCGGGCAGCAGGGCGTCGGCCAGCAGGGCGGCGCGCAGCAGGGCGGCGCACAGCAGGGCGGGCAGCAGCAGGGCGGCGCGGGCAAGGCGGTGCGCGGGCAGCAGGGTGGCTGTGGGCAGAGGTGCGGGCGGGCAGCAGGGCGGCGCACGGGTAGCAGGGTGTCGGCCAGCAGGGCGGCGCGCATCAGGGCGTGCAGCAGCTGGGCGGCGTGGGCAGGGCGGTGCGCGGGCAGCAGGGCGGCTGCGGGCAGCTGTGCGGGCGGGCAGCAGGGCGGCGCGCGGTCAGCAAGGCGCCGGCCAGCAGGGCTGCGCGCAGCAGGGCGGGCAGCAGCCGGGCGGCACGAGCAGCAGGGCGGCGCGCAGCGGGGCGGTGCGGGCAGCAGAGCAGTGGCGCGCGGGCAGGGCAGGGCGACGCGCAGGCAGGGCAGGGCGGCGCGGCTGCCAGCAATGGGACGCGCGGGCAGGGCGGGGCGACGCGACAGGTAGCAGCAGGGTGACACGACAGCCAGCAGGGCGACACGACAGGCAGTAGTAGGGCGACGCGTCTAGTGGGGCAGCGCTATGTGGTGGGCCCTAAAAAAATGGTCCTGGAACTGGACCTGCTCAGAAACCATGTCATAAAACTGAACGAGAATGGTTGAATTGAACAGAAAGTAAGTACAAGTACTTGTCAGAGTATATTTCTGTATAACTGCATGTAGTTCTAGCTGTAGTGTAGTTATATCGCTGTCCTGCTTGTGGTGCACCCCCTCCTTACTTGTCTCTTGTATAACTTGGGCCTTTGGCCCTTTAGTGAAACATTCTTTCTCGACACTTTTCTCCTTGTCCAACCCTCTCGACACTCAACCCTAGTATGGCTCCTAAGGATGCTCATACACCCTCATAGCTACTATTCTAACATGGTATTAAGAGCTGTTACGACCCTTGCGCCCACCACCTGCTGCCTTGCGCGCCACCCTCGTGCGGCCCCCCTCTCGACGTTCGGCATGGCCCGTCGCCCGTGGCCCCTAAGCCCCGGCCCGTCGCCCCGCGCCCGTCGCCCCTAGCTCTCGGCCCCGGCCCGTCGCTCGCGCCCGTCGCGCCTAGGCCCGTCGCCCCTCGGCCCGTCGCCCCTAGGCCTGTCGCCACGGCCCGTCGCCCCTAGGCCCGTCGCCCCTAGGCCAGCCCGTCGCCCCTAGCCCGGCACGTAGGCCCCTGGCCCGTCGCTCGCGCCCGCCGCCCCTAGGCCCGTCGGCCCCATCGCCCGTCGCTCCCCTAGGCCCGGCCCGTCGCCCAACGCCCCTAGGCCCGTCGGCCCCGTCGCCCGTCGCTCCCCTAGGCCCGGCCCCGTCGCTTGACGCCCATAGGCCCCGGCCCCTAGCCCGTCGATTTTCTGCCCGATGCGCGCCCCAGCGCCAGCGCCATTGCCAGCAATCGCTGCCCGTCGCCAGCCCCGTCGCCCGCAGCCCAGTCACCCGCGGACTCGTCGCCCAAGGCGCCGTCGCCTGCGGATCTGTCTCCCGCGGCCACGTCGCCCGAGGACCTGTCGCCCACGGCCTCGTCGCCCCTTGCCTCGTCGCCCGAGGACCCGCCCCCCCCAACTTCGTTCTCCCTCTCCTTGCTGCGCGTGCAGCAGAAAAGGGGGGGGGGGGGGGGAGGGAAGGGTGTTGGGGGCGCAGATAATGGAGGGTGAGGGGGTGGCAAGAGGGGTGCGGTTCCGGGGGGTGGCTGAACTAGGGGGTGGCTGGAGGGGTTTCTGCACAGCCAGCCACCCACCACCTCCTCCTCTCTCTCTCCCTGCCGCACCTTGGGTTGGGAGGGGGGGGGGGAGCCTGGAGGTTAAGGGGGTGGCAGGAGGGGATCTATAGCACCAGCCCCCCCGCCCCCCCCCCCCCTTCTCCTTCATCCCCCTGCTGCGGGTGCAGCAGTGGGGGGGAGGGGATCTGCAGCACCAGCCCCACCGCCCCCCCCCCCCTTCTCCTCCACCCCCCTGCTGCGGGTGCAGCAGTGGGGGAGGGGATCTGCAGCACCAGCCCCCCCCGCCCCCCCCCCCCCCTTCTCCTCCATCCCCCTGCTGCGGGTGCAGCAGTGGGGGGGAGGTGATCTGCAGCACCAGCCCCCCCGCCCCCCCCCCCCCTTCTCCTCCATCCCTCTGCTACGGGTGCAGCAGTGGGGGGAGGGGATCTGCAGCACCAGCCCCCCCGCCCCCCCCCCCTCCCCCCCTTCTCCTCCATCCCCATGCTGCGGGTGCAGCAGTGGGGGGAGGGTATGGGGGTGGCGGGTGTAAGTGAACTGCTGCCGCCTCTCCTCCTCTCTCTCCCACTGCTGCACATGCCGCTGTGGGGGGGGGGAGGGTGTGGGTGAGATGAGGGAGTGGCGGTAGGGATGCTGAGGGGTGTGACAGGGAGGTTTGGGGGAATGGGGAAGTTGTAGGGGGATGGACGCCGTGAAGCCAGCAGCTCCAGTCGCCCGTGAGACCGTTGCGCCAGTTGCTCGTGAGCCCGTTGCTCCTGTCGCCCGTGAGTCGATTGCTCCTGCCGCTCGCTTAGCCGCGGAGCCAGTTACTCCAGTTGTCCGTGTGCCAGTTGCTCCATTTGCCAGTGTGCCAGTTGCTCCAGTTGCCCGTGTGCCAGCAGCTTCAGCCGCCACCCACCACCTCCTCTCCTCTCATGGTCCCTCCTCCTCTTCACTTGCCCTCTCCTTCCTCTGCTGCACAAGGTGTACCCCTTCAGGGGGTGTTATGCACATGGCTATTCCTGCATGCAGTTAGGGGGTGTGTCAGAATATATTTATGTATAACTGCATGTAGTTCTAGCTGTAGTGTAGTTATATCGCTGTCCTACTTGTATAACTTGGGCCTTTGGCCCTTTAGTGAAACATTCTTTCTCGACACTTTTCTCCCTGTCCAACCCTCTCGACACTCAACCCTAGTATGGCTCCTAAGGATGGTCATACACCCTTATAGCTACTATTCTAACAGTACTAACCCTAATTGGGTTGTACCCCTTATGGGCTACCCCACTACAACCTACACAATGTAAGCACTATAACATTTTGACACAGCTTCCGGGGAGGGAATCCGCTTTCGTGGCCAGACCCATCGGGCCACGATCAACGCCGTCCATACACCCGACCGCCCTCCTAAGGGACAGTGCTATAAGTGTGGGAAGACGGGTCACTACATGCGCGACTGCCACGAGAAAACGCCGCTGACGGGGAACGACAGGAAGGAGTAGGGAATTGAGAAGAGTCAGTAATTAGCGGGCCCTTTACTGACTGGGCCCCGTCGCCCGAACCCCACCATCCCCACCGAGTCGTGGTTCCGATTCATGCAATCGATCACACTTGGCCGAATAACGGGGATAATCATGTGGATCACCTTGTGCTGGTCGCTGGCAAGGTGTTAAAAAATAATTTAAAAATGTTCGTTGATGAAGGGGCCAGCCATAGCCTCTTCAACTTGGCGACAGTAAAAAAATGCAAGCTGCAACTTGACAGGTGTCTGCCCGAAATTGACGCTCGCCTCGTGGATGGGACGCCTCTGGCGATATTGGAAGAAACACAGACGGTTCGGATTGAATGCAGCGACGATTTCGGCTTCAGCATGAAGTTCCTCACGATGACACTGGATGGCTGCGACATACTGCTGGGACGTGATTGGCTGCGACATACTGCTGGGGCGTGATTGGCTGCGACGGCACAACCCCGTCATCGACTGGACAACGGGATCGTGCTGCATCAGCAAGCACGAGGGGCTAATTAAATTGCCTGCATGGACACCTGACTACATCCAAGCCCCGTGCGTCAAAGCTATCACTATAGCTCGCCACTTCAACAAGGGCGCGCAGCTGTTCGCTATTTGCTTACGCGAGTTGGTGGTTGACACCGACGGAAATGACATCGAGAAGTTGTGTGCAGCTGTACCACCGGATTTAGCGGAGTTGATTCGACAGTACCCCGACATCTTCCCTGACGATTTGCCACCTGGACTACCACCCGAGAGACCTGAGGACCACAAAATCCACCTAGAACGTGGCGCGCAGCCGACTGTTTGGACATAGTGGCTGTTGACCCAGCCGGAACTCGAGGAGCTGCGAAGTCAAATTGACGCACTGTTGGAGAAAGGATTCATCCGAGCCAGTACATCTCCCTTCGCAACATCGATCCTGTTCACTCTGAAAAAAGACGGCAGGCTTCGCATGTGCATCGACTATCGCGCGCTCAACCGGGTGACAATCCAGTCTCACTACCCAATCCCACGCACCGATGACCTCCTTGACCAACTTCGCGGCGCTTGCTAATTTCTCGAAGATCGTGTTACGCGGCGGTTACCACCAAATCCGAGTT